AAAATGGAAAAACTACGAGGTACTTTCACAGAAATTGCGCTTTTCGTCGTCACAATCCCAATACCCACGTGGTCCTCCGTTTTTGAGCCATCTGTGTAAAATTCTTCGTAATCCCTATATTCGTGCTGAAGTGTATAAAATTCTTGGATTATGTGTTCTGGTGGGGTGCTTTTTTCGTTGAAACGGCTAAGTGAAAATTCGCATAGCCGTGACAGGTCAAACCATGGCGGCAGTCTTGGTGGTTTAATAGCGACATCTAGTGATTCAACAGGGATGGTATAAAAGCGGCAGTATTCCTCGAAACGTAGGACAAGTGGTTTGATTAGGTTCGGTTTGTTGAGATAGTGTGAGCTTGAGTCACATTTTGCGGCAATTTCATAGCAGATGTGTTCAGGGGACGACCTTATTCTTATGGGGCAGTAGGCAGCCGCCGCAAAGCACAGACCACGCGTTCGCGTGTTCCCTTTCACAAAGGACGACAGTGTCCAGTGTGCATTTCTTGCTTTAGCTTGAAATCGCGTTTGACGGCCACAAGTATGACAAAATAACGAGTTTCACCGTGAAGACGGCGACTGCTCCCTTCGCCCGCATTATGACCGCATGACAATATGATTACCCGCTGACATAGTTGTTTTTGGGGTGATGCTCCTTAAGGCGTACAGGCTTGTCTGCCGTAGTTGTCTGTCAAGAGACCACCCCTAGTACGCGAAGGGTTCACTAGATGGTGCTCGCATTTCTGGGGATGTTTCGATAAACAGACAGACAGACAGACGCTTCACCCTACTGCTCATCATTCACTCTGTGGATATGCTGTGATTTTTTAGGAGCGAAGCTAGACCGTGGGCTTTGCGTTCCATGTTTGTAGTGTGTAGTAGTAGACACTTGTTTAGTCCTCAGAATGTCCCCTGGATGGCGGTACGCGTATATGATTAATATATGAAGATGCGAGATGGTGGTACTTGGAGTGTTCACTAGATGGACGGACAGACGCATGGATGGACAGACAGACAGACGCATGGACGGACTGATGGATGCTTCGCCCTACTCATCCTCACCCACTCCATGGATATGCTGTGATTTTTTTGTTTCATTATCGCGAGGGTCGTGCCGGTTTGCTGCTCTCATGCACTGTATATATGTACATACATACGTAAGTTTCTTCGACAAACAAATTCAATAACGCAGGAACCATCGCACACTGGTTTCTTCGTTATTCATGCCCAGAGGTCCGATGGCGTTCCAGCGATGTCGTTATCACACCGAGGCAAGGGAATCACCGCGTGATAACACTATCGACGTCATCTAAGCCACCATGTGGAAACCATGTTGTGCGTTCATTACATCATGTGCAAGTCATCAATACCCACAAACCTTACTATCTACTCGAGAAAAGCCAAACTCTTTCAAAGTTAAGCATATGTTACGCAGGGATGCTTATCTCGGCTGCTGACATCTGGCTATTTATGAGGCTACCAGGGCTTCTCGTGCCCTACGACTCTTCGCTGGCCTTAGCGATTTCCTGCTAATACATGTCTTGGTATATGTATACGCGCACACACACTTGTCTAGACCTGTGATGCGCGTGGCAATGAACGCTGTTGTTGTCCGCACCGGCTACCTCACGTTAGCTACAAGCTTTCGATTATGCTTGAATTATGGCTCAAGGACCAAGGTTCAATTTTAACTCAAATACCAAGAACACAGTATTGCTGTAAGTAATCGCATGGTATTAGCGCACTGTATTATATTACTGATCTCTAAATGCGGCACCTCGAGCGGCTGGCTGAACGCACTAGACGAGTGCGATTTTGTCTGTGCTACAACGCACAGGTGCTTCCCAGTGTGGTCTTCTAGTGAGTTAGAATTCTGCTTTCAACAAATATTGAGCGTATTGACATTATATATGATTGTAATTAGAAAGAGCTGCCCCAGAGAGAATCAGACAGCAAGCCAGCGATCTAACACACGTCTGCGCGCTGTTATTGCACATTTCACACATCGACAAACACGCGCGGAGTACGATATTCCGAACAAGGCACGCGAGCTAAGCTAAGTCTATATATAGAACGTCAGGCTTACAGTTCAGGTTCTCGGAACAGGCGCCAGGGCCGTCGTTGAGGCTGCGTATGATCTTTCAGCAGTGAATTCTACGGTTCCACTGTCAGCCGCAGTAAAAAGACAAAAGACGCAGGGTCGCCGCGTGAAACTTGGCTGAGTCTGCGCTGCAGTTGACTGACAGGAGTCGACGATACACGGGTTCCTGTGGCAGGGTGTCGTGTGTTTGAGAACAAGCAGCGCGCCTCAGAAGCCCCATGTCAACCCTCCTGGACCAGCGGAAGAAGGGCAGGTTCAGGAACTTGGCACCTGCTCTCCTGGGCCTACGGCTCGCGGGAGAACGAGTTCGAACGCCGCGTCAGCGGTCCTGGACCAGTCGTCCAGTGGTGGGCGGAACTGTCCACTCTGCTGGCGGGAGTGTCAGGACGTGGCCGAAGTTGCACGGCACTTACTATGCACCGTATGCCCCGCAATGTATTCCCGCCTCGCACTGCCTCAGCTGTGGGTCATGCACACTTGCGGTAGCACCTCACGAGCTGCCGTTGTCTTTCACTTTACCACAGCGCTCCACTCATGCGCGCAAATTGCACATACTTCATCACCGCGCGGCACAATATAATGGTTTTTCGGAATCGTTTCCTCGTCCACGCACTGGATATTACGTGGTTTCACACTGGTGTCCCCTTATTTGCGCAGAACTGTTCTCGGCTTATCACCCCCATGGACGTTACATGAAACATTTTTTTGTTTAGTGGCCGTGTCTACCGCGTCGTCGTTAGCGAGTCGCTCCATCACATGCGCGCTTGGCATGGCTCTGACAGCGGCTGTGCCTGTGATAAGCAGTGCGTGTAAGTTCCTGATTCGCGCGCTGCGGCGTGTTCGTGTCCGAACGAGTTTGGTGTGACGGTTATAGATAGTCTGCATACGCGAAAGGGCAGGCAATTTTTTTTCTGCCGTCGCTCGACCGGACATGTTGCTTTGTGGCCACTGAACAGTTTTAAACGCGAAGCATCTCTTCGTCGCACGATGTCGCGTTTCGGCGGGGGCGGCGTCCACACCCTCACTGCGCATGCTCGCGTATCGTTCCGAGACACGCACGCTCACATCTGATTGCGCATTGGGCCCGCCCGAGGACACATCCGCATAACTTCGCTCTAGTAGCCATTAGGGAGATTTAGAATGTAGCGTTAGCCCTCGTTGCAGGCGTAGCGGGCGCCATATGTGTTTCAAAATTGCCTTTGCCTTCCTCGCAAACCGAAATTCACGATCGAAGCCACACCAGGTCAAGGTCCAACAGTAGGACATCGAAAACGTATGTTCTGCGGCAGAGAGGACAACAGACGTCTAGCATATCTAACAGCACAATCACTACCATTTTCTGCGATACGAAACGCTTCTAGACGTGCTCGAGCTGTTGTATCTTTACTCCCACCCAGAATCTTGACGAAATTTTGGAGCACATGCGCAGGCATTGCAATGCGCAGAATGCTGCGCATTAATGACCTTGTCCAAGATATTGGCGTGCTGCCACATTCTGTCATTGACGCAGTGACCAAATTGCCCTTCGTCGCCCTTTCTAAAGTCCCTAGTTTCATGTACCCTAGTTTTGAAAATTTTGACACGCATTTTTTGAAACACTCTGTGGACTTGTTCCACCGTATACACTATTTTGCAGGGGCGTTTCGGTTTCGTCATTTTCGGCTGTTAGCCTTTGATTTTGTGACCTTTAACAACATGAAGAGTGTTACGGTAGACGCATACAAATGGAAAGGGTCGAGTTGGTGCATAGGACGTCCCGTAGCCTTCTTATTTCACATCACAATATACCATAACAAGAAAACATCACCTTAACAGCTCAAGATGGCTTCGCCCGTATGTCTTTAGTAAAATAGACTATAGGCCGCGTTAAACGCGTGCTAATAACGTGGAGAAGCGACGGGTGTAATAGCTGCACAGGTATTGAATCGTGCGTTTTACCTATCAAAAAAATTCTTGCTACACTGCTTACACCATCAGGATGATACGTCTCCATGGTTCAATGTAGCCTCGTGCCATGGGCACGAAGCTACATTGGAATAGTAAACGTAGCTAATATATTAATCATTATGGAGCATGCATAATGGCTCGAAAAATCTGCAATGTAGCAGGGCATGGTATTTCAAAAAAAGGAACTCGGGTCCAGTGCTTGTGGAAAATAACTTATCTTTTTTTAATGAACTGATTCATGAACGTCCTTGTCAGTGCGGACAAAGATGTGTGCTGTCTTCTTATTGAAGGCTTCTAAATGTGCCTCCTAATGCCCGTCGATGCTTCTTTCCTTCCTTGTGCTGTCGATGTTATTTTATGTGTTGCGGTAACATCTTTATAGTAGATGGCCTCATATTTACTGCTTTGCTGCTATATGAGTTGCGCTGCTATTCAGCGATGCAAAGGAAGGCGAGAGTGAGGTGTTTCGTGAAAGTCCAAAGGGTTCACGTGAATTCTGAAATAAAGAAAAGGGAACAGACGCGCTACGGTTAGAAATTAACAGAATAGGTGTGCACGCTGTCAAAAAGACACACTGATGATACAATAACAATCGAAGAAAGTAAATATGCCAAGTAATCAGTACTTCGATGCTATAGCAAGGAGTGAAACATCATTTGCGATTTGTCTTGAAAGTCTTGAAATATTGCACTGAACTTGCCTGCCAAACTGTAATAATTATTTGCCACTTTTTTAGCACACAATCATCCATTTTACGATAGATAAGAAAATACGTACTAAGCATGCCATGGCAGCAGTTTACATGATGGCTTTTCTGGTATTAGATTGTAGTATACGCAAGGTGTGAAAGAACCAAATGTGGAGGCAACCACAGTAGAATGTTAAGTAGCATAACTAGTTAAAAAAAATCATGGCGTCGAAACAACACAGCCGCACCCATCGTTCGCACCATTGGGTTACTAGCCAAGGAAGCCACCCCGGTAGTCCACATCGTAGCCATTGCCTCCTGATCCGTGATCCCGGTTTTCGTAGGCGCTTCCGGAGCGGCCTTGTTGGTAGTCGTGGTTGGCGCCGGCATTCAGGAGGAAGCCGAAGTTGTGGCGATCTCCGTAGGTCTGCTCGTGGCCGTAGTCGCGGCGGTGGGAGCCTCCGTGGACACCGTTTCCGTAAACGATTCCGTGGCTTCCGAGCAGGACGCGGCGGCCGCTTTTGGCGTGAAAACCTCGAACTAGCACGCCGTAGCCTGGGTTGAAGCGCCCGAGTCCTCGTGCAGCCGTGTTGATATGCGGAGCGTGCTCGGACTCGTTAGCGAGAGCCTCAGAGGCCGGCGCCGCTTGCTGTGCCGAGGCAGCTAGGGCGAGAGCCAGAAGGGCCAACAAGACAGCGTGGGGCAGCTACAGAAAAAAACCACATCGGAAAATCAGTCTTAATTGAAGAAATATTGTTTAAGTTATTGATAATCTTGCCCCGCCGCGGTGGTGTACTGGCTAAGGTACTCGGCTGCTGACCCGCAGGTCGCGGGATCGGATCCTGGCTGCGGCAGCTGCATTTCCGATGGAGGCGGAAATGTTGTAGGCCCGTGTGCTCAGATTCGGGTGCACGTTAAAGAACCCCAGGTGGTCAAAATTACCGGAGCTCTCCACTACGGCGTCTCTCATAATCATATGGCGGTTTCGGGACGTTAAACCCCACATTTTAATCTATCAATCAAGACTCCGAAATCAGCACTGAAAGCTATAAATGACATGGCATGGCGGAAAGACGCTATAAGGAGACGCTGTACCGAAGTGGAGTGACCAGTCAGACACGATCCGTAAAAACGGCGGTAGGAACGGGAAGACGGAAAATGAGATGAAGAAAAATGCCTGAATAGAAGAGGCTGTGTGTTTTAACCGACGTCTCAAAAAGTGGACTTGTCTTCTTCAATGTTAGAAGAGCCTTGAAGTCTTGAAGAAAAGTCTACTTGTCGAAACGTCAGCTCAAGCGCACAACTGTTTACGATTTTTTCCCCGTCTGAGTAATATATATCCCAATGAAAAAAGATATAATGAAGTGATGCGATTCTAGCCAAAGCTTCTGTCACGACGATTGGTCGTACTGTTATGACAAAAGCTGATGACGAGCCTTGCGCGAACTGTAACTCGGCGTAGTGTGGACGGTGGCGTACAGTGCCGAAATAAATTAACCCGGCAACGTGGAATACAAAGCGTAAAGCGGCTTACACTCGTTCCTAATCATGTTGCTAGAGGATTGCATTCGCATAACCTTTACTCTCGGGTGCGTTCCGTAAGCGCGTAAGAATATGTCGCTGTCACAAAAAAATCTAACCATCTGAATTGCTCGACGAATACTTCTCTTTAGCTGAACTGATATGGGGCATAAAAATAATTAAAGCCGTACGTTCTATGCCTTTGTTACAACGGGAAAAAGCGCATATGATTCGAATTTCAAGACGAAATGCGATCTTGTGAAAGAATTCCCACGTCAACTTATCCGAACACCGCTCAAATGCGACCACCCAAACCTCTGTGATCTACTTGCAGGCTATGAAGTCTCAGTGAACCGACAGCTGCTTATCTGCCACGAACTGTCCCTTAACACGAACCACTACCTAAATTATTGACGCTAATAAACCGCCCCAAGCCACGCATGCGAGATGTAGTCTTCACTCTCATATGAGTGTGGCAGCTTGGGCTAGTTGGTATGACATGACGATAGTTAAAGCGCGAAAAAAGAACGACGACAAAGAGACAAGAAGGACACAAAGGACACGAGCGCTAACTTCCAACTCGGAAGTGTCCTTCTTGTCTCTTTGTCATCGTTCCGTTCTCGCGCTATAACTATCGTCTTCACTTTCAGTGACAAATCAGTACAATCAGACAAGAGCACATGATGACGGTATTACATCCAAACAAGAATAAGCCCGTATTGACCTTCCCTATCCTGCTTTACCCATCTGCCTTCGCCCTTACTGCCATCAACGTTTTCGGAAAACGTCGCTGCCATCAGCGACAAATCGGAGCCCAAGCGACACACCTATAGCTCGTATTAACGGTCGTGTGCAAAACAGTGTCAACCTCATAAGCGTGCGTACGGGATAAGGGAGAGGAGGCGGCCGCCCCCCTCAGTCACATAAGAGTGGGAGCGCCAAGTCAGCTATACATTGACATAATAGGGAGGTGGCATACTCACTCGAAGGGGGAGGGGGGTGTATGTTAGCCTATGAAATGAAATAAAGAGTGGAAAAGCGCTGCGCTCAGCCCCCCTTCCCCCCTCCCTGAAAGGAAGCCCTGCGAACGCTTATGGTCAACCTCGACTCATTTAGGATGAAGCTATATAAGCTGCTTACCAGGCGGCTCATGTCGGTGGTGGTGTCAGCTCTGGATTGTAGCGGGGCAGCGTTGGAAAGCCACTTTTTATAACGAGACCCGTGGAGTGGCCGGCCCACGCGCTGCAAGCGAGAGGACTGCAGCGGGCCGTGCTACCCAGGCCGGAGAGGGAACCGGGCGTACGGTGACTCGTAGTGCCGCGTCCGGTGCAACAACCCTCTCGAAAGTGAAATCACCCGGGAACGAGCGCTGAACGAATGCAGCGGTGAGTGGACCAAGTGTACACTGGGCTTGCACGACATGTCGGGAGGGGGCAATGCTGCTGGTCGTCAGCCGTGACCATGCGTGCGGCTGGAGGCTATACGGAGACGGCTAGATTTCGCAGAAAAACCAACCTCCGTGATTCGGCCAGATCTCCTAGCAGGGTGAAAGCAGACGACCCGTGTGCATGCCGTCACCGAGCAGGTAAGAGAGCGAGCGGAAACAGGCGACGAGACGATTAAGAAAAACTCTTAACGACGAAAAGGGGGGCAAACTTCGTGGGTCAAGATGGCGCCCGACTCGCGCTACTCCGGGAGAGAAAAAAGTGGGTGAGAGAAATCAACGAACAGTTACGAGAGCAGACGCGAAGCGAGCACAGGCTTCAAGTGAAGACGAATAAACCAGGAGTTACTAGGGCCACGTGTCGAGATAGCTTACGTACCAAATGAAGCGGTGGAAGGGGGGGGGGGGGGGAAGCGTAGAGGTCACCTTTAAATAGTTCCTTGCTGAGCTTTTTTTTTTTGCCGAATTCTCACCTACGGGTCACTCTTAAGTTCAATGCTGCGCCTGAAGAAGTGGCGCTCGCTCATTAAGCCGTGTGGTTCCTTCTGAATCACCGGGCGATGAGAGTGTCGGGGGCACTGTTTTCCATGCACAAACGGGGCGTGGCTAAAACGCACGGCGGATAATAAATGAGATCGCTGCATGCGCAGTTCGTTCGGAGAGGCTCTGTTGCAAATGACCGCTTCGAAGGTCAAGAAACGTTTTCAAGGTACAAACAAGCCTGATTAGGACAGTATTTCAGCGACTTAAAGCCGTTCGTTCGTGTGCAAAAAAAAAAAAGCACGCTAATAGTGGATTTCTAATCAGGGTGCGTGTACGCGCGTCACGCAACTAAATGCGCCTTCCATAAGCTTAAAAACCTGTAACAAAGATAGAAAATTCAGCGTAAGTCAAGTTTACTCATTAATATTTTTTATTTGTGTACATGCAGAGTAAACCTATTACAAATATCTCATTACTTTCCATAATGAAATAAATTCTTGTGATAAAAGAAGCGTATAAAACCAGGCCTATTGACACCAGCATTCTTTTTTATAACTGCTGCGCTTCGAAGGCTGTCTTGAAGATTCCAACCACTCCCCCCGTCACATGGAGGGATACGGCTCAGACAGCGACCATGCAAAGCAGAAGCAGGGGATGCATTTCAGTATAGAAGCGGAAGGTTGCGCTTTCCTTTGCATGTGAAACCGTTTCCTGGTGATAAAAAGGAAAGAAACACGAACACGTGCCATCTGACCCCTACGCACGCGTCCAGTTTTATCAACGTCGCAAACATCTTCCACGCATTGGATACATGTGTGACAACGTCCGCATTTGGTCAGCTATGTCACGCCGTCAGCTAGTCGATTCTTCTGTAATGCATTAACAGCTATTTCGAGCAGTGCTCGCCTGATAGTCAAAACGTGTGTTTAGAAATTACTCCATTTTCAACTAAAATAAAAAAAAACTGACTGACAATTTTCAATGTCACAATACAAATACTCAAAGCTGTTTAGCAGCCTTTTCTTGCTGATTTCTCCCAGCTTCATTATAATGCATCAGCAACTGAGAAGCCACAACGAGCATGTGAAGCTACGCGCTCGCACAGCCATAAATAATTAGGTAGGAACATATTTAACACGATGAAGTATAATACAAGAGAATCGCAACGTTTCACAGCGCGTGGATTGAGCCCGATGAAAGAGTCTGCCTCACTGTATTTGGAGCAAAGGCCCTTAGTCAGGCTTTCAGCCTTTTGCCTTCGCTCCGTTTTCTGTACTGGCACAGAAACAAATAAAGAAAGAAGAAGAAGACACACAGATCGCCGAACATAAACTGGCTTTTATTTTTCTGCCACGGCAATGTACATGCAATTTAGACAGGAAAAAGAACAAAAAGTTAAGACGAGCTATACAAAAATGCAGACAAAGAAACAGCAACCCATCGTCGATATCACATGTTCTCCGATAAAAGTTCGTTTTCTTTGCTCCAAAAACCAAACTAAGCACATTTTTTCACGTTTCAAGATTTTCTTAGCCTTTTTTTAGGATTTTCTTACATGCGAGCACATGCTTGTGACTGAAAATAGGCAGGCACCCAAAATCCCGACCATGAATTCTGAAGTGCCCACCGATAGCCATAAGTCTACATAGTACCTGCGTTTCTTAAGACGTTCATTAAGGCACCGTCACGGCTGGTGGACCTATTCACTGAGACAAGATAGTGGTATGCAATAGACTGCGCCTTCTTCACACGCAATAAAGCTATCATTATGCTTGGTGGGACAAACTTTTCGGGGTCTTGCGTCGAAATACAACTGGCGGCAAATATTAAGAAGCTTTTCGGTGATTGATGCAATAATAATAATAATATAGGTTCTTATTTGAATATTATATATATATATATATATATATATATATATATATATATATATATATATATATATATATATATATATGGGGGGGGGGGGTTTAACGTTCTAAAACCACCATATCCTTAACAGAGACGCCGTAGTGGAAGGCTCCGGAAATTACGACCACCTGGGATTCTTCAACGAGCACCCAAATCTGAGCATACGAATTACATCACCCCTGGAATGTCATCTAGTCGAAAAAAGAAAAAAAAAAAAAGACTGGCCGTGGAAAGATGCACGAACGCGAGAACCAGCAGAACCACTCCCCACGGGCTTGAGATTCCCGGTATGGCCCGAATTCACCGTTCGCTGCGGGAACTATACACCGAGCGCGTTAGCGCTGGCACACCAGTTTATTTTGCGGGCATACTCGAGTAGCCCACCGTGGAAGTCCCGCTACTGGCTGGGATCGCGGCACGGGACACCAACAGAGTGGGAGTCGCTCCACGTTATGTACAGCTAGACATCCGAGATGACTATAAGACCTAAGTGGAGTAGCTGGCTGTTGCGACGACCTCCGAAGTGGGCGCACTACACAAAATTGATCCAGAACTGCTCCCTAAAGCGAGTAGCGGCGTTTAAAAGAAGACGGTAGATAAGCAGAAGCCAGCCACCACTTCTAAATAGTTTCATTACGCTGGTATTGTATATAATCTGGTTGTTATACTAAATGTAGCCGACGTTTCGTGCTATAAAAGGCAAAGCAAGCCCGCACTTCGATTGATATGTGGGGTTTAACGTCCCAAAACCACCGTATGATTATGAGAGACGCCATAGTGGAGCGCTCCGGAAATTTCGACCACCTGGGGTTCTTTAACGTGCACCCAAATCTGAGTACACGGGCCTACAACATTTCCACCTCCATTTGAAATGCAGTCGCCGCAGCCGGGATTCGATCCCGTGACCTGCGGGTCAGCAGCCGAGTACCTTAGCCACTAGAATACCACGGCGGGGATCAAGCCCGCACTTCGGTATTACACTCTTTCATGTGGAAAGCTGTCGTGCTCAGTTTCTTTCAAGGAGCCACTGGAGGCTGCCTTCGGTGTCTATACTAATGTTGTCTAATGCAACTTCGCACTTATGTCCCCACCATTAATGACCACTTTTCAAGCTGCGCGTGGAAGCTTTTTGCTATACTTGAACAAGACCATGTCTCCTCGCGTGCCCGTTTTCCCATCTCATGGCTTAAAAACGATGACTTTCAAATGTTTTTCTTAGATTTCCTGCGCCACGCGTATAGCTAATGTTGCACTGCGACTTACGCGGGACTCCAATGGTGCTAGCAAGCACGTTTGCGCATGTGCAAAAAGCCAACGCGTTTTATGGAAGATTGGATTAATATTGGATGTGCTTGCCGAAATTGCTGTTTGTATTTGTTGCCTAGGATGAAGGATTCTCGCGAATTATTCAGTACAATCGTTGCTGGCTTGATTGTTGCCTTCTTCACCACCATGACCGTGAGAGCATAGGTATCGACGGTGATATCGAAAGTTTAAACACGGTTGCTGGTTGCCTTCAATATTAGGGGCCGATAAGTCTTGCAAAACGGCAATGATTCCCCATGCATGAGCTACTGTAGGACGACTAACTCCCACACACCAACCAACGTCATTTCTTATTATTTCTTTTTTCTCCGGCCACGCCGGAGAGATCGGCACACGTGTTCGTGGAGCGAAGCAGTAGAGGACGAAGAGAGCGGATTGCGGTTCGTAATGATGAGAATTTTCGGTCACGACATACACTTTACGCTGAGCTAGGACAACTTTTCTGTTAAAGAAAGCGGGATTCTTCTGAGCCGCTCAGCTATTCCAACAAAAGCACTTGAAAAGAAATGACCGTCAAAGCAAAGTGTCAGGTCTGCGCTGTTTTTAATAGCAAGGCTCCTTAAGCTAGCCCTGAGTTACGCGGCCTATCAGGTACGTGCCATGTGGCCTACCGGAAAACTGTCATCATCATCATCACGAATTTAGTTGCCACGGAAACTGTGGCATTTCCACTTCTCAGCACTGGTCAACTAAAAACGAACAAAAAGACAGTCCTAACAAATGGCTGTGAAGCAACGGCCGGTGAGCTGAAGACCCCGAGTACGTACAAGAGAATACTAGGTAGTGAAAAGGGCAACGGCCGCTCCAAGGAAACCCTCAACCAATGAAAGGCCTACGCCAACAACGACCTGCCCGTAAATTTACGAGAAGTGCGAACGCTTGGTTTCAGCGCTAGCTTCTGTTTCTGTAGTCTGTACGTCCATGTGGCGTCTGGGACTGTATGTGGTCCTACTGTCCACGCCCAGAAACAACCTTGCATTACCTATAACATTCAAAAGTAACCAATTTAGTTTTCAGAACTATCCTGCTACGCTGATACGAACCTCTCACAGCATTTGTAAGCGTAGCCAATCATTTTGCTTCGGAAAGAAAACATGGATACAGAAATGCAGCGCTCCGCTCAGAAGACAATCATTTCTTTTCAGCGAATCATGACTGATCCGGGATGTTCGATGAAAATGTAGGAATTCTTCTTCATCGTGATTACAGTTGCAGGGCTCTTGAAAAGAAGGAAGTAAACGAGGGTTGTCTTTCAGGTCGGCTTCGACGCTCAGAGTAGGCGCCAAACACTGGGAACCCTCTAGCATGTCGTTAAAGTCAACCAGCACATAAACGAAGTGGGCATCATGAGACACCTCAACCCTAGAGTATGCATTCCTAGTGTGCAATATCGTTACCTTTGAAATGATTCGGCTGTCTCGCTGCGATAGCATACGTTCGTGAATATTTTCGATGGCCAGTTCATACCTCACGCCCCCATGCATTCCCCTCCACGTAGGTCTATACCTGGATTGCTTACTTAATAACTCTACGTGACAGTAAAGGTTCCAAGGTCCTCGATCAGTAACGGCGTACTGTGGGTAATCCCCCGAGGAAAGTTTTCGCATGTCTTTCAGAACAGCAACTGGCAGGTTGGTAAAGTAACCCATCTTGCCAGATGTCCTCACTGTCTCAGAACCGGACGAAGGAGATGACGTGCTTGCTTCCACTCTGTGATTATCCCGGGAAGTCTCTCGTTGCGACGAGGTCGAATGACTTGGTACTGCAACTTGAGCTGCCTCTGACGTTGCAGGTGCCGCGACATCGTGCTGAATCACGGACGACCTCGAATCACGGCTCCTGATATGTTCAGTCAGCTCATCCAGTCGACTCTGAATCCCAAGAAGCAACTGTTCGTGGTTGGCGTCCCTCAACAGAGCCTTCAGTTGTTCGAGAGCAGCCGTCACGTCTCGAAACGTGAGTGCTCTAGATTCCGATGAGATGTTCTCTGTGAGCGCGGGAGAAGCAGAGGTACTACATCCGGTAACGTAGTGAGTTGACAGTTCCCTGTGTAGGACTTCTTCACCACACCGCATACACTCAACGGCGTGGAACCCGCATTCGTTCTCGTAGTGTCGCAGCATGTCTTCCACAGCTCCCTCATACTGGCAGCCGTGTGCCTCGTTCCAACAGTGTACCTACATAGGAACAAGAAAAAAAGTACAGTGTTTCCTGAGCGCCAAAGAAAATTTATAATATGGGTACATACCAACCCGCCCAGCTATCTGTTGTACTACACAGTCCATTTACTAAATTACCGTAATGTATTTGTACAAAGCCACAAAGCCACTTTATTGGCGTAATGGTGCATTGAAGTAACACGGTGTCCTTGTAATGCACGAACACACTAAAGGATGCTAGACAGTCGTCAGAAAATAATGAAAAATTCGACATCAATCGAATGTTTTCCCTATTCGAAGCAACCTGTATATTAAAAATGCACATTCGCGATAATCAGGTCATAGTCGAATGTGTGGTTACAGGTACGAATACTTGGATAGAGTAACAAGATTACAAATGCTACGGCATGCGTGAATCATATTCACTGCATAATTCGTGACGCAGAAAACGTACGGTATAGGCAACTACTGCAGTTGATATAATCAAGAATAAGTAATCGACAATTCAAGACAGCTATTGGCTTTATGCATGAGTGGTTTGTACTGGGAGAACTGAATGTTCACATATGCCTGTTATTAGCGTGTTCACATTATCACTTTCCCATACCTTGCCGCAACGAAGCGGTAATTCTCGATTAACTCCAATTGTTAAAGTCTTTCCACATCTGTTGACGTCTAATTTTACAATGCCCAACTTTCATTTTTGATTTACGTAGCGCAGGCCTGGTGCCTCGAGAAGCTTTTTAGGACCACTCTGCGATACGTCTTTTCTACATTTTGTCTAAACTTCAACCTCAGTATACGTTTTTAATGGCGTGTGACTGTTCTTTGCATATCACACAACATAACAGAACTACTAACTTAGAAGTGTGACAGCATGGGCTAGTTGGTATGACATGATGATAGTTCTAGCGCGCGAACAGAACGACGACACAGACAAGTCCTCCGTGTCCTTGTCTCTGTGTCGTCGTTCTGTTCTCGCGCTATAACTATCGTCAGAACTACTAACTTTTTTTGCGCATCGGTTTTCTAGACGACACAGGGAGCACGATTTGAACACAGGGAGTACGATTGAAATGTAGCACATGAAGTACAATTTGAAGGCTTACATCACTGCCTTCAATCAATACAAGTAGTTAACTAGAACATGCAACTGCAACTAATATTAGTTTCCTATGCCCCTAGTGTAAAAGAACGAGCAAGTACTCCTCTAATTTGATTGATACTATGAATTGTTCATACCGTTGTGGTAATTTCAATTGGGCTTCAAAGATTGCAGCAGCTCTAAACTCAGAAGTATATAGCGTTGGAGCAAAATAGAGCATAGAGCGCGAACTGTGACGCGATCCCAAAAACCAACAATTTCACTTAGTACTAAAAATAAAATATCATTCATGACTCAGTGAGTTATCAAGTACCACGTGAGCAACCATGGCCTTGTGCGTTCTCTTATCCTTGCGCTCCGTTTACTTGCCCCTCAAATGAATTATTAACTTAGGGCAATTAAGTACAGGCTCTTTCACTCCGAGGGCAAACGCGACACAGCGTGGCCATCATGGCGTGGCTGCCCTCCGCAGATAAAAGCGAAGTGACGCGTGTGCAAAGAGACTCGGCATTATATGACACTTTTAGTTGGGCGTACGTAAGGAGTCCACGTACACGGCACAATACGTTGCGTACGCTGCATGCGAAGCGCCCAAAGACACTTTTGGTTCACCGTATTGACCGTATATCGAGATACGTTTGGTTCAACTAGACGTATGTTATTAGAAATTAAGCAACTTTTAGGTGCTTTTTAGCGCACTCGTGCGGTAGCGGCCGTCATAATGGCCAGTAGCATCCAAGACAAGGCGAATCATTTTGGATCCATGGTTTACGTCGGTTTGTTCCGGATGCCTAAAAGGATCGCTGGTTTGCACTTTCGATAGCAGCGCAACATCGTCCCTCAACGTAAAATATACTCGATTTGGGCGCGGCTATGTTGCTCTTTGCATTCGACGCCATCGCTGCCATTTGTGCTCTCTGGTTCCTATTTCAATCGAGATATCGCGAGAGCGTCACACCGCGTACGCTCCCGCCTCGTCACGTTTACGCACGCCGCGTTTTTTTTTTTCGGCGTATGCGCTCATCCATGGAGTAGATACGTTACGTACTGCGCCTGCGCACTTCTCTCTCTTAGCCACGTTACGTACGTAGGCTCGTTTACGTACGCCCAACTAAATGTAGAGAGCTTTAGAACTGCGTACGCTACGTACGTGGCGGCGTTGCGTACGTAAGGACGCCATGTTCTGCGTAATGCGCAGACCGCAACGCGCCCGTATCGCATTGCGTACGCAGCCGCTACGTACGCAGGCATGAGATGCGTGCGTGCGTACGTTTGAGGTGATCGCGCCCCTCTCGAAGAAGTTCGCGACAGGGCGAGACTTCGTTTTGCAAAATGGCGGCATCGAAGGCAAGCACCGACCGGCTCTGTGGCTTAAAATATGGTCATAATCCGGCTATAACACTTGGATTGGCTCACATTGGCTGTCAACAACACGTGCTTCTTTTTTGATCTACCAGATGACGCAACACGCTTCACGCTCGTTACGTACGCGGGTACTATAGCGTACTAAAAGCCGATTAGTGGCAAAGGACGCCACGTAACGCAAGGCGCTTGCGTGATGCGTACGTAGCACCATTCCGCAGTACTAAAACTCTCTAGTGCGTATTGATGTGTAAAGTAAGACTGGTGCACTCTAGCGCTGCAATAGCCAAGCCGCGCCACCCTGCGTCGCTTCGCGTTGATGCGGGGACGTGCACTGGCCCTCCGTCGAGTCATCCCATGCATTTTACGTCGTGCCCAGCCTAACTGTGTACGAGGCTGCACATGAGTTTGACATTCGGAATCTCGAGTTTCACATTGTTGAGTTCAAAAACATTCTGCAATGACATCTTGCCAGAAACGTGAATGAACTGTTCCATATTGTGTAGAGGACGAGGAGCGACATTATCATTATCGGGGATTAGAGCAGTGCATTGGGAATAAAGAAGAGGTAAACGGGCAGGCTTCGCTATGGGCACGACGGCTCGTCTTTTCCTCAACATTTTGTTGCCGATACCCGGGATCGAACCAGGGACCTTTATATGTTGAGGGAAGAACAAGCCGCCGTGCCGATAGCGAAGCCCACCCGCCCACCTCTTCTTTATTCCCAATGCACTGCTCTAATCCCCCATGATGATAATGGCGCTCCTCGTCCTCTACACAATTTGCAACATGAACAATCACATGAACAATTTACAAAGGAACGACAGACACCGCTTCCTCACCTTCAAGGCGTTGAATTTCGTGGTGGGGAAGTGAAGAACAAAGAGCTTAGCCTCCTCGAACGGCTCTTGATCCAAGGGACAGCACCCTCCACTGTAATTGGCTGCGTGGCACGATTGGCACAGAGTGTGCGCACATGGCAGCGCCAGCATCCGCTCGGGAATCATGCGACAGAGATCGCATACGAGCAGACTGGGCACATCGTCGACAAAGCGAGTCGGTCGCCAGTTGACGCCGGCGACGGCGTGGTCGCGAAAACGGTGCACTCGTCCGAGATCCGGCATGTTTGCTCTGCGCAAGCGAATGCTACGCCGGCACAAGAGCGGCCCCGATTTCCTATCACCGAGCTAATCTCTCTGCTCGGTGGTCGCATGCACTTCTACTGTCGCGTAGCAACAAGGAGATATAAAACGGCCCATTCTCTTGCGATAGCGTATTGCGTGTCACGTATTGCGTGCACCATTCCTCTACAGTGCATTCAATCCGTTTGGAGGTGTAATGCCTTTAAATACGACCCATTTCTTAGCATACCATAGGAACCTTGACTGTTTCTATCTATCTATCTATCTATCTATCTATCTATCTATCTATCTATCTATCTATCTATCTATCTATCTATCTATCTATCTATCTATCTATCTATCTATCTATCTATCTATCTATCTATCTATCTATCTATCTATCTATCTATCTATCTATCTATCTATCTATCTATCTATCTATCTATCTATCTATCTATCTATCTATCTATCTATCTATCTATCTATCTATCTATCTATCTATCTATCTATCTATCTATCTATCTATCTATCTATCTATCTATCTATCTATCTATCTATCTATCTATCTATAGATCCTACGTTGGGGTACAACCATCGTGGACAACCTTTTACAAGGCACCACCTTGGCACCAGTATACTCAAAGTACCTGGTAAGTTCGAAATATGCGCACAACTGCTCAAGATAAGCAGACGTTGATTCGGCATTTTAGGCCTGGTGCAAAAAAAAAAGAACAAGAGCGCAGAGCGTTTATACCATCCAGCATGTATAAACTGAAAAATAAATTGAAAAAAAAAATAAAATTGAATTGAGATTCAGCATAGGGTACTTGCCACCTCCTTCGTACAACCCGCGGGTTGTAGAATGTCCAGGAATATTTTTTTTCTTTTTTCTTCTGAAGGTATTGTCAAGTGTTAGGCCGAGGAAGACAATATTTCTAAGCGAATCTAAGCGAAATAAATAGTAGAGGATTATTGTAGTAAACAGAGGGTTGTATATACGTCACGATAAAACTTAGTCCAAATGCTGCTTTGAACAGATTTATGTGATTGAATATAACAGACTTCCGCAGAGACCATAATGGCAAAATCAATTTTCAGAAAATATTATTTGACAGACAGGCCTATATACTTTTGTATTTTGTATATTTTTTATATTCTGCATAGGCTTTGTATATTTTTGACAGATAGGCTATTATATATTTTATTTCTTTTCGCGATGATCGAGCGTAACTATACGCTAGTGCACACGAGGCATGAACTTTTGAAAGCCAGTAGACATGAGTTACAGACTTCCGTCGGTGGCGACATAGTTCTAAAAAAAAATTAAGCGCTGGTGAGTGAATAGAAAATCGGGCGTACACAAAATGAGGCTCTTCGAGGTACGCTGGACCTGTGTGTGCTTGTACGTGCCGCTTTCCGATAATTGATCTTCTGCGAATCGTCCACTTATCGGTGGTCAGCAGTTTCCGGCATTGTAGGCACATCTTTATCAAGGACTCTTTGTTATTTCTCATGGCCGTATTTCATTATCCCCTACCATAGTATTCCATTGTTTCACATATGGCCATTGCTATTACCTGTCGCAGGTCGCGGGTTCAAATCCCGGTTGCGTCGGCTGCATTTCCGATGGAGGCGGAAATGTTGTAGGCCCGTGTGCTCAGATTTGGGTGCACGGTAAAGAACCCCAGGTGGTCGAAATTTCCGGAGTCCTCCACTACGGCGTCTCTCATAATCATCATCATAATCATAATCATAATCAGAAAGTAGGGATCAATACGTCATACGAATGAAGCCCACCGCGTCGGCCCAACAGGTGATCAGAACGTCAGGGTGTGCGGTTGGCTTTAGGACTCACGGTGACGTTCCATTTTTGAACCTCCTGTGCGAGCCGACCAGTCTGCGCGGAACAAGCATGGAGGAGGACAAGAACAAGAAGAGAGAAGGCAGGGAGGTTAACCAGGCACATGCCCAGTTCGCTACCCCAGGCTGGGGGAATGGGAAAGGGGCATAAAGATGAGAGAGAGAGAGGAAAGAGAAGAGAAGAAAAAAAAAGCATGTTTCGATTAGAAGCTACCTGGTGCCACACCGATGTCTCGGTAGGTCTTGTTGCTTAGAAACCGTAATGTTCGCGACGCGCGCGTAACCAGATCGGAACGTTTTAAGATTATCTGGATGGTTCTTGGTCATTCAGCGCGGTTTGCGCAAGGCAGAACGCACAGTGTAAAGGGGCAATAACAAAACATGATGAAAGAGTGTCGCATTACCCTCACTGAAAAAAGCATCATTGCGAGACTTAAACAGAAGATGAAAGTTGATCGATGTGTGGGGTTTAACGTCCCGAAACTTACGTAGGATTATGAGAGACGCTGTAGTGGAGGGCTGCGGAAATTTCGATCACCTGAGGTTCTTTAATGTGCATCCAAATCTGAGCACACGGGCCTGCAACACAGACGTTCGATGTGAATGTAAAAAAGTAAGCAATGAGTACAAGCAATAAATCACAATAATTAATCAACAAAAATGCAGCCCCCTTGTTCGTTTAAGGGGCCCTGTGACACATGCCAAGCGCGTTGTTTTCATTGCTTCGTCTCGGACTGTGGAGTCATTGAGTTTCTCACAATCATACCTAGAGGGAAATCTGGCGCTATTCAGCTGCTGAATGCATGAAAATGACGGGATATGCGAGCCTCAAACTTGACTCGTATTTGTGTACCTTGAAGACGCGTCTGGCTTTACGTTAAAATTCTCGATTTTTTTTTACTAAAAGAGCACGTGATAGACTATTTATTTTTTGGCATTGCACAGAAAGGTGTTTTATTTCACACTAGTACCTGCTACGTTGATGTACAATTTTACGAAGCGTAAGAAATAACCAACGGCCACAAAACTTGGCAGGGGACGACAAAGCGATCATTCTTTCCGCCACTTTTATGACATATGTTTTTTTTCCTTCGCCGTTTGGTTGTGCCGTCACGGTGAGTGTAGTTTTATTTTAAAACATATTACGTGTGAATGAGATCCGCCTATAAAGATTTTGTTTTAAAGAAGCCTTGATTACACAGTCGTGTCCGCTTTTGAGCTGGAGCCTCACTCAACACCAGCCAACGCAAGCTTCGCCGACACATATATATACCATTATTCCGAGCACTCCTACATCGCCCCTTAAGAAATTCGCGCAGATGGTGGCGCCACTCTTTTCTCTAGGTATTTGTACGAACGTCTATGTGTGGAGTGCACCGACATTGGTGCGCGAGCGGCAACGCTAAAAACAAAGCTGTTATAATCTATAGCGACATACAATGGTTAGTAATCTTATAAACACAGCTGTTATAATCTTAGTTCTACAGAGGAACTACCACGTGTGTCTCAATGAGTGACACAAAGCGGATGTTTTTGTGATCAGAATTGTGATGCTTCATCACGTGGTAGTGACGACATAAGTCGAGAGTTTTGATTAGTTCAACGCGAGTAATTGCACGTAGTATTCATACGGTCTGAGATTGGTCATGATAGTATACACTAACAATCATAAAATTACTTTTTATACTTCCTCAGACACAAATGGATTTGTTTTTCAGTATAAGTGTAAAAACAATTCCAAAACGGCGCTATGAGCGGCTGTGCAAGCTGTGCAATAGACACCACGGTGCGGGTCATCAGGCGCATCTTGTGAGGCGGGCGGGGATCGGCAGCGGCCTTTGACGTCAGCGAGAGAAGGAAATGCGAAAGCGAACATTTTTTCACGTCGTCGGCAGGGGTTTGGAATTTGCAAGGCTGAGCTATCGTTGCCATGCACCAAACTTAATCAATCTTCTTGCGTTCATCTCAGTACTCGGCACTGAACTAATTACAATTGTACAGAGTGCAGACCGACTTTAGTGCAGACGAAAAAGCGTCACAAAAACCCTGCGACATGAACGACTTCAGGGCGTGCACTGCATAGTTGAGAGTTTGTAAGCCATCGTGTGGCTTCTGTCACATGGTTCCAAACAGGACTGTGCTGTGTGCATGCTCGCACGTTCTATGCCAAGCGTGCCGTAGCTCAAGCATGTGGTTGGTGCTGTCCCTTGGATCAAGATCTGTTCGAGGAATATGATTGCGTCAGCTATGATCTGCAGCGAGAAGAGCGATCGCATTTAGGGTGATAAAATGCTTTCTGATCTTTACTTGAGGAAATAGTTCAATTACTTCTTTGGCCCCACTGCGCATCTGCAGCCATATCAGTTCAAGGCAGGTATTTGCATGCCGGCAAACAGTCATACTTAATAACCATATTGGAAACACATACAAATGAGGTTATGTTCTCAGAGGGAGCTACAGAAGATCCAGGACGAGAGCATAAACCTGAGCATTGTTGGCAGTGACCGAAAGCTGCAAAAAGTTTTAGAATCGAAAGATAGTTTCTATGCACTGTGAGAAAAAAAAATGAATATATGTAAGCTTTGAACAACGTTGTCAAAAAGCAGCACGCAGGATATTCAGCTTATATTGGTAACGACCACTAAATTCTTGGGTTTACAAGATGGCGCAGCACTAACAAAAGCGCACTGTCGAATGAACATGCTTCGATGCATAGTGAGACTAAACGGGCTATCTATCACACGCAATCTATATACTTTGATGGATAGATAGATAGATAGATAGATAGATAGATAGATAGATAGATAGATAGATAGATAGATAGATAGATAGATAGATAGATAGATATGTGGCGTTAACGTCCCAAAACCACCATATGATTATAAGAGACGCCGTAGTGGAGGGCTCCGGCAATTTCGACCAACCGGGGTTATTTAACGTGCACCCAAATCTGAGCACATGGGCCTACAACCTTTCCGCCTCCATCGGAAATGCATTTCCGCCTCCATCGGAAATGCAGCCGCCGCAGCCGAGATTCGAACCCGCAACCTGCAGGTGAGCAGCCGACTACCTTAGCCACTAGACCACCGCGGCGGGGCGATATATAGATAGATCACATCGTGGTTGTGAGACGTAAAACTCCAC